AAGAATTGAGCAGGCAGCTCCAAACCATGTTTGAGGAACAGGTGAAAGCCCAGACTGCCAACTGATGAATGCAAGAACTGCCAAGGGTAGAGTCTGTTAGGTAAATATGTTTGTTACTGACTTTTAGCTCCTCATTTACTTATTAAATCAATTTGTATGGCTGTCCATCTCACAAATGTGACTCTGGGCAGCTAACAACACATTAAAACAATAAAATCAACAATGATGAAATTAAAAAACCCAAAAGACAATGAATAGTGGCCACTAACTGACCCATCTAACCTCCCAGCCTCCAGGCCTTGGAGCACATCCAGGTTTTCAGCACTTTATAGAAGGTGAGCAGGGTCAGGGCCAATGTGATCTTGTGTTCCAGATGGCACACTTTCTCAAGATTCGACCTGGAATGATGTGCTGATTGACAAGTTCCAAAAAGGCTTGCTGATGACTGGTTGAATGAGGCAAAATTGACTGCCTGGCCATACTGAAGGATCTCAATCAACTCTGCCTACACACTGCCAGGCATCTCTAGCAACGCAAAGCCAGAGCCTATGCTGGCAAGACTCCAAGTGATTTCTGTAGGCAATGTCTCCTGTGCCTGACCTGTTTCTTCCCCTCACAGAGCAGAAAGATTGGAGAGGAAGGGATTACAAGTGAGAAGGCAGGCACATAATGGGGAATACACTGGGCTGTTTGCATAGCACACTCACGGTTGCTGGTGCCAGCACATTGCTTTCAATGTGTATTCCCCATTGTGTGCCTGCTTACTCTCTTGTAATCCCTTCCTTTCCACTGAATGTAAATACAAACAATTCCATTCTTGTTAAGTATCTCAGGGCTGGGGAAAGGTTAGGAGGCAAACAAAAGCCAAAAGTGTGAAACTGATTAGTCGTGTCAGTTTCAAACCAGCTATCCCAGCGCTGTTGGGGTGAGCATCCCAAAGGGTGGGAAAGTGGGGGAAAGGAAAGCATAGTTGCAGTCACGTGATTTCTCACTTAGTGACTACTTCGCTTAGCAATGGAGGTGCCAGTCCCAAATGTGGTTGCTAAATGAGGATTACTTGTACCATTGCTGAGTCAGTAATTTTATCAGCATGCTGTAAAATTGTAAATATTATCCTTGGTGAAACATGAAAAAAAGATATTGAAAATCCCTATGTCAGATAACATTATTAGCTGGTGTATACATGACATGTCTGAAGACACTGAGTCAAAAGTGATAGCTAAAAATAAAGAAGCCGATTTCTTTGCCATTCAGTTGGACAAGTTAACTGATATCACTGGAAAAGCTGAACTAGCATTCAGCAGATTTGTTTGTAATGGAGACATTACTGAACAATTGTTACTTTGCAAATCACTTCCAGAAACAAGAGGCCAGGACTTTTTTGATGTTGTGACAACTAGTTCTCACAATTTGTTACGGAAATCATGCACCTGCATGGATGGTGTTCCCTCAATATTGGGAAACTAAGAGGATTTGTCACACGGGCCAAACAAAAGAACCCTGGCATTGTTTTTACACGGTTTCCTGCACATAGAGGCCCTCATTTCAAAATTACTTGAACTCCAAACGTACTAAGACAATCAAAATGGTTAATTACATTAAGACTAGGTCATTAAAATCGAGGTTGCCTTCAGCACTGTGTTCTGCCATGGAAGCTGCTTACACATTACTACTACTGCACACGGAAGCGAGATGGCTATCTCAAGGGCAGATTCTTTCAAAGTTCTATGAACTGAAGGAACAGCTTCTAATAATTTTTATATCAGAACAGTCTTAGCTGGCTGACCTGGCTGACTTGCTTAGTGGTAAGACCTGGGGTAATAAAGTTGCATTCCTAGCTGACATTTTCCAAGCTTTGAACACTCTCAGTGTGAGTATGCAGGGAAAGAATGAAAATATTCTTACTTGTACTGGCAAAGTTATCTCCTTCAAGGAAAAATTAACACTGTGGGGAGCCAGAATAAAAAATGAGAACATAGGTGAAATGTTTGAACTGACAAAAAGTCACAGACTGGACAAAAAGCTTGATTTAATTCTACAGCATTTGTCACTGCTGAGTAAAAACATTGAAAAGAATTTCCAATCACTTGATGTATCTTCCTTGGACTGGGTGAGAGATCCATTTGTATTAAGTGCATGCAAATTAGCAGAATTAACTATTGCGAAGATTTGGTGACAGAAATCAGAAATGATAGAGGACTGAAACTGAAATGCTCATCAATAGATATGGCCCCATTCTGGTTGTCTCTCTCAGAGGAATACCCGATCATCACAAGGTGATGATTAAAGCACTTGTTCCTTTCTCAGCATCTTATCTGTGTGAGGCTGGTTTCTCTGCTATGAACACAATGAAGAGCAAGAATAGGCCACAGTTTTCAAACACTGGAGGAAGACTTGAGGATATGCTTGTCAACCATCTGCCCTCAGACAAAGGACATCATAAAACATCACCAAGCAGAGGTTTCTCACTGATTTATTTTTTTTAAATAACACAATTATTAAAATTTTAGTTATTGAATGTTAAACACAATTTTAATATTTTTTTTAAAAAACGAGTCCTTAAAAAACTGAAGGCGTGCCTTGACCATTTTAGCACCTTGTCAGTATACCATGAGATGAAAAAGGTTGAAAAATCACTTCCTCAGATGTTTCATTAATTTACAACTGAATAGGACTCAGAATCCATATACAATAATGCAAAGAATATGTCCTCCCAGATGAGAGTTTCTGGCCAACTACAGCTACCACATGTATTTTTTCTCATCCATACAATTGGCATCCTTAGTTCCTGCCATATTCTGTTACCTGGAATTACAGGTCATCTGCAGAGAGCCATGAAGATGGACTTGAGGGAAATATTCAGAAGCTGTTACTGAAACAGAAAGGGCAGAAGCATTTATCAAGCTCTAGGAAAAGAGATAGTATTTGGAAGAGACTCAGGCTGGCTCTTCCCTGACTCACTGGAGGAAAAAAACAATCAGATTTGCAAGATTCTGTTAATACAGCCTATCTCAATAAAGTTTACTTCTAGTCTTCTTGTGGAGTCTGTTTTCTGGACATCCTTGAAGGGCTTATATCATCCACCAAATCCTCCAGAACTAGTTCCACAAAGCCAAGGAAGTCTACAAGTACTCTACAAATCAACACTGACAGCTGGGCAGTGGAGGATTTGATCTGGATTTCAATGCAGCATCTGGTGACCAAATGGCATGCAAGTTGGATCACTAATTCCTGGGGATATTCTCAGTGGAAACTCTCATCAATCTTGTGGCATACTATCAAGTTCCCACCTACCTACAAGGTACACTGAAATTTCCCATTGCTCCCTGTCACTTTTGAGTCCACACTGTCAGCTGTACCTCTCCTGCTGCCTGTCATGGTATAAGGGGAGCCAAACTACGAAGTAGCCTATATTCTGAATACCTACCAACATCAAGAACTGTTCCAGTATTTCATTCACTGGAAGGGCTATAAGCCAGAAGAATGGTCTTGGGAGAATACTGACCAGGTCCATGTCACACATCTGATTCAGCTGTTCCATCACCAATAACCCAACAAGCCCAAGTCCAAGCTTTTCATGGGAGGTAGGGGCCCTGAGGAGGGCTCTAATGTGAGGGAGCCTGGTCCAGATAAATGCCAGCCTCAGAAATTGGGGAGTAATCAAGCACCTAAGACAGATTCTACCAGTGATCATCTGGAGCAGCTGCACCAAGAATCAGATGATGGAAATCCCAATCCTGAATGGCTTCCAGTCTGAGGATGCACTGCATATTCCAGAGAGCTGAACAAAGGTGCTCTGCGTAGTTTCTTGCAAAACAGTGCTGGCAACATTTTTAATTGGGTCTACCCAGTGGCTGGCCCATATTAGAACTACTCTCAGCCCTTGGCTGTGTTGGGAACAACTGCTACAACCTCAACTCTGCATGCTCATGCCTTAAGGCCTGTGTATATCCTGAACCCTTGGCTCTCTGACCCCAGACTGGAAGACCACATTTCCATGATGCCTGAGCCTTAGACCGTGACTGGATTATGCTAATCTGTGCTGTTTTGGCTTTGCCCTCTTTCTTATGCAAGCTCTTATACTTTTGTAAGCGTCACTGGTGCATGTTTTCCCTGTGTTGCTTGTACAGATAGTCCTCAAGTTACGATTGCAATTGGGACCACACCAGGATTGCCATCGCTAAGCAATGCAGTCATAAAGTGCAATGTCACATGACTACATTAGCGATGGCAATCCAGGCAGTCCTGGATGTTGTCATAACTCAAAGACACGCAAATCATTAAGCGGGGAGCAGAGGGAGTTCCAGGTAAGGAGTGCGGGGATGCTGCAGAGGGGTGTGGGGGAGGCCCTGGGAGGCCTTGCACAGGCCACATGTGAGTTAGGGAGGGGATGCTTGGTGCCGCGCAAGCTCAGAAAGGCCAGGGAATGAGACCGCGAGGTGCATGCAAACACAGGGAGGCTGTGGAAAAAGGGCACAGGGGTGCATGTGTGTGAACATAGGGAGGCCAAGTAAAGAGGGTGCAGGGTGCGTGCAGTTGGGAGGCTGTGGAAAGAGGGTGCAAGGATTCAGGGGTGCAAGTGCAGGGAGGCCAAGGAAAGAAGGTGCAGGGTGTGTGTGTGCAAGCACAGGGAAGCTGAAGAAAGAGGGTGAAGAGGGCCTGCATACACGTGTGTGATCGCAGGGGATCCATGGAAAGAGGGTGCGGGGTATGTGCGTGCGATCGCTGGGAGGTTGTGGGAAGAGGGCGTGGGGTGTGTGCGTGCATGTGTACAATCTCAGGAAGGCTGTGAAAAGGGCACAGGGTACATGTGCATGATTGCAGGGAGGCCTTGGAAAGAAGAGGGCATGGTGTGTGAGAGCAATTAAAGGCTGGGGGGCAGAGACTTACCCAGTGACTTGTGATCTTCCTTGTCAGCTTCCTATTGACTTTGCTTGGGGGAAGCTGGCAGGGAAGGGCATAAATGGTGATCATGTGATTGTGGGATGCTGCAACTGGTCATAAGTGCAAGCTGGTTGCCAGGCACCCAACTTTTGTTCATGTGACCACAGGGGCGCTGCAATGGCTGGAACTTAGGACTGGTTGTTAGTCCTTTCGTTCAGCACTGTCATAACTTTGAATGGTAGCTGAATGAATGGTTGGTTGCTGAACGAATAGCTGTAAGTTGAGGACTACCTGTAGTTACTCACAAAACCAAAGTAAATGGCTTGAAACCTATCCTGTGTGTATTTAGCCTGGAAGAAAACCTCGTGACAATTTCATATCTGCTCATTTTCTTTTTGAAAATTGATAATTCAGATGATTATCACTTGAACCTCTGTTCAGTTCTAAAGATCTTGGAGAAGGAAAGAATGAGGTAGACTTGGAGAAGAGATTATACAGTTCAGGGATTGAAGCAAATGTGAAACAGAATCTCAAAATAATCCCACCTTGATTTTGTTTAGCATAAGATGAGACAAAGAGAAACTTGGGCAGGTTTTCAAGATACTATTATATCCTATCATAATGAAGTAGCATTCCTGGAATCCCTGTTGACTGTTTCTTGACCTGGCCTACTTCAAAAGGACTGTCATGTTACATTTCCTGTAGAGAAAGAAGTGGAAATAAGGCTGGTTTACTGGGAGACCACTGTTTCTGAAACTGCAAAGTGTTGTTCAAGTATCTTTACCTTCCAGGATTTTGATAACATGAGACTCCACTGTGTTCACTTTGGTTGACTGTGAGATAGAAAGATGTGCCCTGATCTCTTTCACATTCTATTGACCAAATCAGGTTTGTTCATCCACATTTAGGGATGTTTCTCACTCCCAGAGCAAGACAGCACCCTACAGGTTCATCTGCACAAGTTGCTGTTGACCACATGTTTGCTTCTTCCACCAACCTGTCCTTTGGTCTTCCAGAAGTTCATTAGCATCAATATTAGCAGAGCTATTATAGAAGCTCCCAGGGAGCACAGCAAAGATATGGAGTTGATTTGCAGTTCTAGTGAGCCAGTTCTTAGTGTAAAAGTAAGTGTACAAATAAGATGTGTGATGGGGAATCTCAGGAAATGTGTCAATGGAAACTTCATACCAACAGTGGGAAAAACTCCAACATGCTTGTCAGAAAGCCAATTTAACCCTTGAGATGAAAATATTCCCATTCTTTATACACATGATTAAACCATTTTCCTAGTTTTAATATATTTTGATTATAATGCAGTTCTGTCAGCCTCACTAGGTAGACCAGACCAGGAAATCAACCCCATAAGAAGGCTAAAACTACTTTTATTGAGATTGGCTATAATAATAGAATCTTGAAGGTCTCAGTGTGTTCTACTTACTTCTCCTTCTTATAGTTCAGTGAATTAGGGAGGCATCTGCCTGAGCTGCTTTTGAATGTTAACTCATTATTCTTGACTTAAAAAAATATTTCAGCCCCTTTTGCCTGGGCAACAATTCCTGCATCTTTGTCAAAGTAAACTTCCATACTCTCTACAAGTTCTGATATAAGGAACCCTCTTCCCCAACAAGAAGCAGGTGTGTACTAGGTATTATATGTAAGCATGTTCCACTGAAGGAAATGAACGATAATACTAGCTCTACCTCTCCCATTTGCTCTGCCAGCAGCAGCTGCCAGCAGATAAAGGCACTCCTTTTTCCTGCTGGCAGTTAGTAGTAGTACTTCTACATAGTATGATTTCTAGTGGAAAGGCTACATGTCCTGACAATATGAAATCATGGAATTATCTCTGAGACATGTGTTTTAACTTTGTTCTGAAACATACACCAACCAATTTAAAACATACTGTACACTGAGAACTTCGCAAGACAGAAACATTTAAGGCAATGACTCAAAGGTACTAGATGCTAGAGGAGCTGCATATGCAAACAGTGTATAGCAACATACAGACTAGCAGTAGGAGAAGGAAGAACTTGCTAAAGATACTAAGAGACAACAGTAGTTAACTAAGATATTCACTCAGGAATATCTGAACAGTAAACATCTCTCACTCTATTTACTATGCTATCTGGGCAGTTGTAGTTCAGTAGCTTTTGGGGAACTGCATACTGCACATCCATGCATCTGAAAACAAAAGTACTGGTAAGAGCTTCATTATATATCAGCAACTCTGCTCTGAATGCTGTCAAGTAGTACTGCAGAAGAGCTGTTTGGTCCATCCCTTCAACAGTATCTGTGATGGAGGCTGAGGTCCTAGAATCTTTTCTGTCTAAAATTATTCTGTTACGTGACTGGACAGCAAATAGATTTACTGGGCTGCCACTAACACAGAGGCAAGTAGCCACATTTTCTATAAGCAACCACTGTAATTTTATTGCCATTCTTAATTTGACAATTAACTAAGATACCCATTATTAGTCTGACGTAAAGGAGATGTTCAGCTTTTATTCATCTACTGTATTTCCAGCCATGAAAATATTACACACACACAAAGCTTACCTCTGTATAAGAAATCCCAAGACAAAAATTTTGTGATATTAACGGATGTCAACGGAACTGAGGTCTACTGAAGAACAAAATATGAGTAGGTCCATTGTATTTTTACAGAAGAGAGCAAACACATACAAAGAAATACATTCTTACTTCATTATAACTGAAGCTGTAAACATGTTGCTTGGCTAAAATTTGGGAATAACAAAGTAGAAAAAAGGAAAGTACTCATGGAATCTGAGGGTTTACTGTTTAAATGTTAAGAACCTGGAAAGCATAGCTGTGTCTGGTCCCGATAGTCAGTGTTCTTCATTAGAAAACGCTGCATGATTTATCATCTTTATGTTAACAGTCGATTAGGAATTCATCCAACCTCATCATCACTGCTGCTCCAAGCATCTTCATATGCAGGATTTAAGCACTGCTTAGAGAGCAACTAAAAAAAAAAAAAAAAAGGAAAAAGGGATTTCAATCATGGAAAATTAACTTGTGAATGGATTCTGTCTCTATAAATCCCTTGACTGCCACCGGATTCTGCTATATTATCATATAGCAATATGGAAATAACTGCATGCAAGTAAAGGACAGGCTCATGACCAAGACTGCTAGGAACTACTCATGTGGGCTAGCTGAAAGTAAAATTCCTTCTGTCTGGTTTCAAGTCTTTTCCTTAAGAACAGCAGCCAAGCAGCTGAAAACAAGGGTCATGCTTCAGCCAATATTTTCCATTCTGCATGGGTTTTATCCTGTACCTTAACTTCTTCAGCAGTACTGAAAGGATAAGAAATAGAAGCTATGTCCTCATCTGGAATGTAAAGGATTTCTTACATATAATAGTACACACACTTCTAAATACTGAGCCAGTCTCCCCAGCCTAAGTACAAATATGATGAACCTATAGAATAGATCCAATCACACCTCAAATCAGTACAATTTGAGACTACAATCTGGCATGAAGAGCTATAATTAGTTACTCCCCACACCCCAATCAGTGACAAGTCCTTGTTGCTCACCAAAAAAGCAGACAAGCTTTTTTTCCTTTCCATGCACTTATCTATAAATGCTCCACTTTTAGCCTTGCTGTAGTGAAAACTATTTACCTTTTCAGAATGAGTATCATCAGGTTCTGGTTCTCTCAAATATGGTACCCAGGCAAGAATATTGCCATCTCTGCCACTGCTATAAAGTTCCTGCCATTAAAAAACAAATAAAATAACGTAACTATTCCTGAATAGGGAAGGAGGATAATTTGACACTACCTTTGTATCTGGGCACCTCAGCATGCCACCGTAGCAACTTCAACTAGGCTGGTAGGGAAATATTCATTATGAAATAAACTACAATAAGCTCAATAGGATTTCCTTCATCATGAGCATGTTTAGGGTTATCTTAAGTTACTGACAGAGCAAAAAGGAACTAAGAACATCAGTTTGATTCACAAACCATATAAAGGCCTGTATGAGCTAAGAATAGGTTATTTGAAAAACTGTAATGTGTCTGGCTGAACTAACCACTTTGAAAGGCATCCTTCTCTTATCTCACCATTGTTTAATTGAAATGTGAGCAAAGGCCTTTTGATATCTTCTCCTGGGCTTTGAAACACCTTGCTAGGGGAAGTACAGCTAGCTTCTCCTCTGTTACCCTGCTGCAGACAACACCTTTAATTCAAATACATATCTGGTATATAAGGTGGCTTGAGTGCTCAGTTGGATAATTAGTAATATATTTTTTTAAAAAATTAGTTAATTTTTAAACTGTGATAATTATTTTTTTAACGTTACTTTATTATTGTTAACTACCTTAAGTGGTATTTGTTGGTGAAAAGACTATGTATAAATAAAGCTAATAAATTTGAAATATACTTGTGTTAAATTAAAATAAATTAAAATAAACAAATGCAAACAACACATGGCCAGTTTTACATTTGTGCCTTTGTGTAGCAGATGAACTCCAGTTATATTGGATTATAACTTATCACTTCTAGAATTATGTAAGGTGTAGTTCATAACTGAAGGACCTAAGCTAGGGAAGGATGGTTTATTCCATTTAAAGAAAGAACTTTTTAATGACTAATGGAACAGACCTTTCAAACTATGCCCACCAAACAAGTTCAGAATACTATTTCTGCTACTCTACAGAACAGCTGCAACAGTTTTTAAAGATGTTTTCTTAGGGATTGTTCTTGGCTGAAGAGGTGTTGGGACAAGACACTTCCAAGAAAAGGCTTCTTAAAACAAATCACATTTATTTCTAAATTAGCATCTTTATCCCACTTTTCACATAATGATCTAAAAATACATCCTGTGGATTCTGAGTAAAACTAAAACAATGCACAAACTCAGATTTCAATTAGGGAGATTTAAGTGCATGAAAAGTCTTTATGAACTGACCATAACATCACTAAAATTAATTCCCATCTTCAATTAATTGTGCTCTCAGTTTTTCAGTTTCCAGTATGATTAAAATTTGTGGCCAGAAACTGCATTATATACAATTTGCATTCTATATACAGAAAGTTATTAGAAATGCTCCTTCTACCAAAATTTTCTAATCTACATTAATAATAAATGCACTTGAGATGCTGATCTCCATTGACTTGCAGAGTTAATGTCATCTCCAATCATTTGGAATGCAAAAACATAATTTAATATTCATACCCCAAATGTTTCCATGAACAATGTAATTTTCATAAGGCACTTCTTACAGTAACTCAAGTGGCATTATGATTATTTATAAAACATGTTCAAAAATTCAATTGTCTAGACCAAAGGGCTCCCTAGCTTATAGTTTTTGATTATACTCCTGCCTAAGAGAGAACTTGACCTTAATTTGTGTACTAGCATTATTATAATGCTGACATGGTGGCTTGTTCTAAAGACAGGAAGCTGCTTTAAATCAGATCAGGCTGTTGGGTCAGCTAGCTCAGTATTAGCTGATCTGATTAGCAGCACTCAATGGGGTCTCAAGCAGATGTGTTTAGTTTCATTTTGAAACTTCAAAGGTAGAATCTGGGACCTTCAGTGTGTTTAATTTAAAATAATTCCTGGTTAAATCCCTAATATATCCTCTTAAATAAGTAGCAGAGAAGAGACAACCTTAGAGAGCTGCTGACAATGGGAAGAGACAATCTTAAAGAACTACTACATCATTTGTCTATTAACCATATTCACTCAACTAAAACTCCATACACAGAAATAGTATCTCTTTTATTATGCTTTATATTGCTTGAGGCAAAAAACATGGAGAGACTGTCATGGACAAGTATATCATATTCAACCCTATAGTATAAAGCTGAAAGGCTTTGAAGTATTGTTGAAGGCTTTGCCTTCTTACTCTGAAGAAGTTCACTTGAACTCTAATGCATGTTACCCTTACATGGACTATGTATTCAGTGTAGCTTAGTGTTTTAAGGAAAACTTGTTTGGTGACATGCTTAAGTAATCTAAAATTCTCCAGAGGGCTTCGCTTACCTGAAAATTAGGTTGAAAGACACAGCAGTCAACAGAACTATAATGTCCTCTAAGTGTAGTTATTAGGTCTCCTGAATAAATTGTATAAACAGCAACAGTGGTACTGCATGGCACAAATGCAAATTCTGAACTGCAGCCATGCGACACTGTAAACCTGAGTCCTTTCTTACTTTCATTGCTCACCTTCCCATAATTTACCTGTAAAGATATAAGAACAAAAATTTAGTTCCCTAATTTCACAAAGCAAGTATCTAATGGTTTGTTAAATTTTAAAAGAGGAGGTTATTTCTTATAACTTTAATGTATTCTGCTGTAATAAGAATCCCTTCCTGCTCCACAATAGCATTTATCCAATTTTAGACTTGAATAGCTTAGAACTACTTCATTACTCTTTAAGAGAGAGAGGTAGCCTTTTAGTAGCTGAAGGCTACAACAGATAAGGAGAGATACCCAGGGGCAGGAAGAAGGATCAAAGTAGATAATTCTGTATCTGGAGGGGGATCCCCCCCCCTTTTTGTGGCAGGGAGCATTTCAGGATTTTCTGTTAACTGAATTCTTGGACATATGACACAGATATGTCACCATTTATTAACTAATCTGATCTTGTAAATGAAAGCTACACTAATATTTTCTAATACTGATGTAACATCGCTCTTATGCATGAAGCTTATCAGCAACATTCAGCAAAGACAATTTTGAATCTATAGGAACTTGGGCACCAATGGTTTTCCAAGTTTTAAGCCTTGTCACCCAATATAAAACCTTACATTAATGTCACTAAGTATGGAAGATTATGATTTAGTTCACCACTTGCAGTGGAACTGTCTTAAAGTTTCAAATGTTGGAGATTACATCTGATAAAAAATTATTAGTACTGTAAGCAGCTTGTGGCCTTTTTAAAATAGCAATATGATTCCCATTGTTGGATTACAGTATATATTCTTAAGAATGTCATTCTCTCTTATTGCCACATCTGACTGTCACATACAGGAATTCTTCTTCTCTACAAACAGAATGCAGTAAAATATGTGTGTGCGTGTGTATGTATATATATATTTCTTATATATATGAAATGAGTATAATTTTGGAATGAATAGAAAGTCTTTTATGACATAGTTTTACTTATTCATAATATGTAGGATGAAGATATGATAATGATTTCCTATAACCTATAAACGTACGGTATATTGTTAAACATGTTTGGCATGATGATATTTAATTTAATATCTAAATATGTTGGTACTCCTTAATACTGTGGCATTTACATTTGGTTTAATACAGAATCTTTAGTTTCTATTTAACTTTTTTTTCCTGTTTCCCTGGGGACAAAACTATACACATTTAAATGGCGCAGAGCACAGGGTTTTTTTGTTTTCTTTCTAGAACTGGATATATTCACAATTTTGCATCTATAAAAACAAGGCTGTAATCATATATTTATAGTTATCTGAAAATAATTCCCATTTAAGGGGCTTACTACTGACTAGATACTGATAGGCCCAAATTACAAACATTAATAAGTATTTTGAGACTGCATTCTATACATGTTTATTTGGAAGCTGTGGATGTCTGCTTTTGGAACCAACAGGAGATACAGTGGGGCAAAAAAGTATTTAGTCAGCCACCAATTGTGCAAGTTCTCCCACTTAAAAAGATGAGAGAGGCCTGTAATTGTCATCATAGGTATACCTCAACTATGAGAGACAAAATGGGGGAAA